GAATCAAAATCGCGATTTGAGACGTTGCGATTTCCTAATCGCAAAGCCTGCGATGTGGAAGCGATATTACTCTGTTCCAGAGCATATGCATGACTGCCAGCCTTGAGTTGCAGTTTTACTAACCAATAGAGTGAGCGCACCTCCGTTCTCCCCAATCAGCACTGCTTCTAGCCAACTGCGTAAACACCCACCATTTAAAAAAATAAATCTCCTGGGTATATGGCCATTGTTGGAAGAGCCTTCAGCATCATATTGTGCATGATGATCTGGTGCATCTGTGCATTCTGCATGAGCATCAACTCCACCATGTCTGTCATCAGAATAATAAAGTAGAGAACTTTTGGCCTAGCATAAATCTTGAAGTGTAGTTTAAACTCCATGTAGTACTTTATTCTTATCAGCTACTGCATGCAACTTCAATCACAGCTACACTACTGTTCAAGATTTTCTCTGTTTTTAACAGAAGATTCTTATTTATTAAAGTTTATAGTATTTATTTAAAAATGCAGTCAAAAACAGTCATGTAAAATAATATGTATATATATATATATATATATCAATCATGTATTTTTTGTTATATTTTATTCTAAATAAAAATATGTATTATTTAAAAATTATATTTTTATCCCTTACTCCAGTCTTCAGTCACCTGATCCTTCAGAAATCTATTATACTTGTATTTTTTAGGATTCTTTGATGAACAGAAAGTGTGAAGAACAGCATTTGAAATAGAAGTCTTACGTAACATTATAAAATGTCTTTACTGTCACTTTTGATCTGTTTGTCCTTGCCAAATAATTTGCCCTTGCAAAATAAAAAACTAAATCTTTCAGTCCCAAACCTTTGAACAGTAGTGTATTTGTTAAACAATAATCTTATAGTCTTGTAAGTAGTCTTTCGTTGGAAAGTACAGGTTTAAATGTCCTAAATGTCACTATTATTTATTGCTTTTGTGTCTTAGTATACAATAACTTTTTTTCTGCTTTTGATGTATACCTTCTTTAATACTTCCTGATCTGTAGGGAAAGGTTTGTGGAGGTGGGATTTGTGCTATGAGAGGCTGTTGCTGTGGTAACTGCTGGATAATGGTGGCTGGCTGTTGAGGAACCTTGTGGAAGGAGAAATATAAGTTATTAGAAGAGTGCCTGCAACAAAGCATTGTAACAGACACATACTCTACAAACACAAATTGGTTATGTACTTGTATATTTCGGAACAGCTATAAAGCCATTTAATTGAACTGAAATAGTAAATGCAGATATTCTGTGTATGATTAAACCAGTATAACTAAAAGTGAGAAAACGTTTCATACAGTGTGTTGAATGATTTGAGGGGGCTGAGGGGCAGGAGGAGGTGGAGGTGCAGGTGGTGTAGTTTGGTGGATGTGGATGGGAGGTACAGGTTGGAGTGGCCCAAGAAGAGGTTGATAATGATATTGCCTATGAGATCCACCCCATGTGTGAGGCCTTCCCAGATCTTCCATCATATGCTGTTCCTGGTGAATGCATATAAACATACTCAAATGCACACTAATATTTGTGATTTACATGATAAAATATTTCTATTGACTATTACATGACACTTCAAGATTGCCTTGGGTTTAATCATCTTAAAAAGCTAAACAGATACTCTTTATGTGCAAAGAAGCTTTTAATATCATCTCTGTGAAACATACCCTCAGTCTCTGTAGGAGGTTTCTCTTCCGTCTCAGAGCGCTGTGTAATGCATCTGCCTGCCCATCATAACTTCCTGTGGAATCAAAATATAAGACATTAGTCATATATGTTGTATTCTGCATTTTTGGCATGCTCAGCTGTTTTTGTTTTTATTCCATGATAGGATTCATTTATAAACCTTTGAGAGGATTACTATAGAAAACAGGCATTCTGTCTGGCAACTTTTTTTTTTTTTTTTTCAGGACAGAATTTCACCCAGAGAGGCAAAACACAAATCATTTCAATCATGTATATTGTACCTAAACTACTCTCAAAATTCTAAAAAAAAACAACAACAACAACAGTGGAGTTCATAACAATAACTGCTGCCTGTGTACTTGTGGAAAACGCTGAACCTTCTCGTTCAATGTTGTCATTTCTCTCATTCTCCAGTCTCTAAAAAGGAGCAAAGAGATGATATAATACATCTTTTAATTGACAAGTTTGGTCTCATGATTGTATGTCGTAAACAAAAGAGAAAGGTTTAATATATCATGTCAGTTATGTATAACTGAGAAATATCACATTAAACCAACTTACCTTTTCCAACATTTTCAATCTGAGCCTTGTCATTTGGTCAACCACTGGGTCTGCCATTTTAAAAACACTTTGTACATTCGTTTATTTAATTATTGTCCATGTTTGCTGTAGAAGCCTGTCTGTTGTCAAAACATATCTGTGTGTTGCAGAGTTCTTTGCCCAACCCTCAAGTTGCTAAGTTACATTAGAAATCCAGACAGAGGCTCTTTTGTTTATGGTGGACCCATAGTAGAGCGTTCTAAAAAATAATAATAAAAACAAAAGCATTATGTTTTATTTGTAGTCTTGAATAATATAACATAAATATGGGATAATTAATAAAATAATTATTATACTTATTACTTTTTATGTGGAATTGATATTTCTACATAATTGTATATATTTGTATTGTATACCTTATACTCCAAATAAAAGTTAATGATTATATTTATTATCTTATATTTTTATAATCTGTTTATTATTTCGTACTTATAATATTATATTATCAAAATGTGTTACATTAAATTGGCATAACATTTACAAATTATGAAATTTTGCCTTATATTATTAGTGAAGAAAACAACTAACCGTTGTTACTGGTTAATCTTATTCACCCGGGCTTTTACCCGCGTCTTTCATTTGTCAATCACAACCACTATCGGAAACACGACTACCACAACAAATACAGAGCCTACGTAGGATGTCATTTCTCTCTATCCTGCTCCGCAATAGGCTCTAGAAGTTGTCAATCAAAGGGTCATGCTTGCACACGCTTTCTAATTGGTCATTCGGGCCCAATGCATTTAAAGGAGGGCGTTTTGAAAAGAGCAGGCGTATTTCTGCAACAAGAAATGTCATTGGCTGGCAAGTTCACATCCTTTGTTCTAATAGGTTCTCGCAGACTGTCAATCCGATAAGGGCGGGGACAAACACACTTCGCGGCCATGTTGAAACTACACTGACAGTTACTCCTTAGGAAAATCTCTGAACTCACAAAACATTGCGAAAAATTCGTTTAAGGAGATTTACAGAAACACAGTTTCAGACTGGCGTCCCCTTGAGTGTTTCCTTCATTCCCATGAAATTCCTTGATCCAGGAAATGGATCAGGATGAAAGGCAGAGAAAATTAGAGGCCGGACGAGCAAAGGTAACGTTAAGCGCTAACATTAGCAGAGGAACTTTACATTGGCTAGTTGTGAATTTGAATATTGTTTAGTTATTCCTTATGTCTGTAATTATATGAACTACCACATTTTATTTAGGTGTTTTTTCTTGCTTTTATTTGAAAGCCACAGGTGTCACAGTCACTCTCATTGTTCTTGGTGCACAATGTCTTATTATAAAACTCGTTTGTATAAAAAAAAACTATTCCGCCCGACTCAATTTATCAGTGTATTTGTGCCTTACCTTCTCATAATTCAGTGTGCTGAGTATTTTTTATTAATATCATGCTACAGTCATAATGGACAAAATGAGGCTTGCCTTGAACTCCAAATTTCTTCTGAGTGTAAGTCGTTCATTTGCATTGGTTCTCAAAATCAGAATGATCTTCTTCAGCTGGAAAGTTTGAGCTTTTTTACATTGTTAATATGTAGCTTTGGGTATTTGATTTGAGTTTAAATTTGGGTTAACGTTAAATGTATGTTGGCTTTGCGGCAAAATAAAACCACAACAACAACTTTTTTTATGCGTATGAGGCATTTTACGTCTTATGTTGCAAATAAAGTTATATTTGCTGAGGGGAATCTGATACAGCTCTGTCTCTAGGCAGAATCAGTGCAGCTCACAGGTATCTACAGTATATATTTAGCTCAAGAGAGCTTTTACGGGAACTGCACTTTATCTGCAATGAGAGGAAAACAGGAATAAAGTGGCATCTTTTTGTTTGTTGGGTGTTTCTTTACCTTCCTCCTTATAAAGGACAAGCGCTTCAAATGATGTAAACAATACGATTTTGGCTACGTTCATTTACTAAATACTTTCTCATTGTTGGATGATGATATTCAGTCCACAGAAGAAAACTGCTTGTTATTTATAAAGAGACCTGCAGGAGGCACCACACGATTGAAACATCAACATTGCAGGATGGATTTCAGGACTCATTAAATGTAAATGTGCAGTCGTTTAAAGGGGTCATATTATGCGATTTCAATTTTTCCTTTCTCTTTGGAGTGTTACAAACTCTTGGTGCATAAAGAAGATCTGTAAAGTTGCAAAGACTAAAGTCTCAAATCCAAAGAGATATTCTTTATAAAAGTTAAGTCAACCACGCCTACCTAAAACTAGGGGTCGACCGATTATCGGCATGGCCGATATTAAGCATTTTTACGATTATCGGTATCGGTCATTTTCAAAATCGATTCGCCGATAAAATAACTTAATTTTGAAACGCGCTATTTGGCTCTGATGCAGCCTGTCAGAACTCACCACTCTGTGGCCTAAAGCAGTCTCCGCCCACCGCTCATCTGATTTGTTGGGAGTCACGAGTCCGACCAATCAATGCAGAATTCACTCTCACTCCGAAAGCGCTTGCTAACTGGAGCTGCTTCAGTGATCACGCATCAGTTGTCTCTCAAAGGTAAGGCAGCAGCAGACGTTGCTTAATTTGCAATAAATCACAATCCACTAACGTTACACTGAAGTTGCAAAGCACCTCAATGTTATCTATGATTTCCGCGATTCAGAAAATGTGGACGGAATCGCGGAATCCAGTCATATAAATGGAATTTACTGTATGATGCAGAATGTCACGGAATTTGTCAAAGTTTGGATGAATTAATCAAAAGTAGGTCAGTACACTTAAATAGAGTCGCGATATGGACTAGTATCTAAATATTAAGTCGCAAAAATATTATTTAAATATGAATCCTGCATGTTCTGCGTGTCTCTGTGTATGTAAGTTTAAACGTTTATTAATTTAATATTTGTCTATAATATATTTATCTCTAATTTGAACCAAACTATTGTATTAAGTCGCTCTTGGAATTTCAACAAATCCTCATCTACATCATGCACTTGCTCTGAGTCACTGGATCCATTCTTGTCAAACCCTGAATTTCATCTTGTAACTTCAGCCACATAAAATCCATGAATGTTCAATCATTTAACATTAGGTTATGGGATGCGTCTGGATTGTTGTTTGTTAGTTGTTAGGTTAATTTAGCTTAAAGATTAACCTGTTATAGAGTGGCTAGCTTGTTGCCATGGTTTTTGTTAACTGGTCAGCAATCAACTATTTGCCCACAGCCCTCTACGAACACCTTGGCAATTGAATCGCCATTGGCTACTCGCCAGACTAATAAATAAATAAATATATATATGTATGTATGTTTGTTTGTAAAATGGCACAGTTTTATAAATATCTGAAGGTACACTCTTAACATCAGTCAGTCAAGCATTATAATATGATAATCAATATTATTTAATGATAGAACTTTAGTAATTAGAATTAAAACTCGATAACCATGTATGAATGCATATTAGTCATTTTAACTGAACTTCAGACTGGTGGTGGTGCTTTTTTGGTCATTCAGTGTTTCTGTAAAAAAAAAAAAATTGGGGAAAAACTAACAAAAATACTGATAAGATAATAATGATACGAATTCTACTAATAAGAACAATATAAAACGCACCAAGGATTAATGAGCTACTGGATTCATGAATATTAAGAACTTACATAATTTTTCCATGGCTTTCTAAACATGCGGCTCTCTTGTGCGAGACGCGAGTGCAACTGTGATAGACGCCCCTCTAGAAAATGTGATATGCATTCTGTGTGAACGGTTTGGTTTCGGTTTTGACATAAACAACATCATCTCCGCATTGATGTTCTTTTTTCCCGCAATATTTTGAATGAACAACGTAGCAGCGTCGCATCGA